GCCGGATCCAACCTGGACACAGACGAGCCCAGCAGCTGCTGAGGCACCCCTGAAGCAGGGAGGCACCCCTGGCCATAATGATCCTATGCACTGGAGAGGTGAGGAGACAAGGAGGGGACACTACCCTGTCCCTATGGCTCACAGGGACAAGGAGGGGACACTGCCCTGTCTCTATGGCTCACAGGGACAAGGAGGGGACACTGCCCTGCCCCACGGCTCACAGGGACAAAGAGAGGACATTGCTTGCACACATGGCGTCCCTCCCAGGTGTCATGTCCTGGCCGGACACAATGTGTGCCCCTGGGCTCCCAGGAGGGGAATGGGCCGGGCCTTGTGCACCGAAAGGCTCCCCTGGGCTGCCTGGCACGGGGCTGCTCGGCTTCCCCCTCCCTGCTCCTCGGGCCCCGCTGCACCCACCGGACCCAACCGGGTGGCATCTTCTCTGCTCTAGGTAAAACACCACCCATCAAGAGAGAAAAGGTCGCTGATCTGCAAAGCCACCAGTGCCTCTTCCCAAAGCCCTCGCTGGCCTCTGCCAACCTCCTCACTCACAGAGCTGCAGCCCTCCGCACAGCAGCCTCTTATGTAGGGCCGCTGGGGATGAGGGCGCAAGAGCCACATGCTGTGAAAGCAGAGGCTGCCCTGTCCCCACAGCTCACAGGGATAGGGACACTGCTCTGTCCCCATGGCGCACAGGGACAAGGAGACGACACCTCCCTGTCCCCATGGCTCAGAGCAGCCCCGAGGCAGCAGCCGCCGCCCTCAGCTCGGCCGCCTCACGGGGCGGCTCCCCCGACTGCCAGGTCGCCTCGGGCACCTGCTGCGCTCCCATTGGCTGGCTCAGGACCCCGCTCCCCTTGCTGACCAATAGCAGGGCAGCACTGGGGTGATGCCATGGCAACAGTGCTGCCCTCTGTGAGCAACCTCTTCCCGCGCTTGTGCTCCCCGCCTGCCCGCGGCGGGCGCCATCTTGTGGTCAGCCGTGTGGGGATGGCGGCGCCTCGGGGCAGCCGCCCTGTGCCCGGGGCAGCGCGAGGCCCCGTCCCTGCTCCCCGTCCCTGCTCCCCGTGGTGCTCCCGGCTGTTCTATGGGAGCCGGGCTGGACATGCAGAAGCAGCCTGGGGCCAGCAGGGAGGCTCTGCGGATGGGCAGGGTGCCGGAGCCCAGGGAGAGCGTCCTGCTGCCCCAGGGTGAAGCAGGACAAGGCCATCTCGCCCTGTGGTCCCCAGCGTGAATGGATGCAAGGGGAAGGAATAGAGCCCAGATGCCGACTAGTTTTAATATCTGCACGGGCCATCCTTGTGCTTGGTGGCTTGTGTCCAAAGCCCTGCTGCTTTCTCCGACGTTTCCTTGCCCTTCAGAGCTGCCTTCAGTGGCTCCTGTGACCTGGCACAAAGTCACAGCGAAGCCTTTTTTGCCCTCTGGGCAGCACAAGGGATCCCCATGAGAGCAAGCGAAATGCCAGAACTTTCTTCCTCATGCTTCTGTACTAAGAAGGAGGCATCTGAACTACATCCCACTGTGTGAGTGTGCCTGTGCGTGTACAGGATAAATACATACATATCCATGTAATTTTTTCTTCTGATTCTTCCAAAGATCATTTTGCAGAGAAAAAGGGGGTTTCTGGATGGTCAAAAGTCCTTATGCCCACATATGGGGTGGACAAAATCTGTCTGCATCGGAGTTAATTCCTGTTCCCTCTGCTGTGCTGCACAGATGGTAAATGGGCGTGAGGACAGGGTGGACCTCACAGCACCCCAGAATGGATGAGGTTGGAAGGGACCATCCAGTCCAACCTGCCTGCTCCAGCAGGGACGCCCAGAGCCACCCAGAATGGCTGGGGGTTTCTATAGGAAACACGATGGTTTTGACTGATGGTGTCAAATCATGGCGTCGAATTTGACACCATCTAATGGTGCCAAATGGCAGGAGGGGCCCCTGGTTTACCCAGGGCTCTCCCGCCCACGGGGAACCCCTTCCCAAGGCACCTCTGCCCAGGCAACGCAGAAGGGCAGTTCCCCTGGGAGGCTCCCCGCATACCCGAGCCTGCGGGCGGCCCCTTGCGGCCTCCGTGCGCCCGGAGGGACCCTGCGGGCCTCAAAACGGCGGCCCGGGAGGCTCCGCGCGCCCGAGACCGTCGGCGCCCCCAGCCCATGGCGGCCGCCGCCGCAGCGGGACCCCTGGGCCCCGCCCCTTCCCGTCCCGCCCCCTTAGGGCGGAGCCTGCGCGCTGGCCCCGCCCACGCGGCCCGGC